TATTACTTGAAACCACTTAAATCCTACTTTTTATACATTGGTCTGTGTTGCAGCAGGCTAGCATGTGTGGCTCAACAAGGCAGGGTTGTGGAGTCCCAACTGGCAGGGAAAACAGGCTCAGAGGTAATTTCAGAACATCAGGTGAAAGTCCCAAGGGGGTCTCTGTGACCGAACCCGTCACACACGTCATTGGTGACTTTTAAGAACAAGTTAGACAAACATCTATCAGGGATGGACTAGGTATACTTAAACCTGTCTTGGTGTGGAGGGATGGACTATCTGCCTTCGTCAGGTTCCTTCCAGTCCTACATTTCTATTTATTCCAAGATTTGATAAGCTATTGAGGCCTGCTGATTTTTTAAAAAAAGTTTCTCTCTAGTAGATACTGTTTAACATCCTCCTTAGTTACCAATGGATTGCAGAGTGGTACACCCTCCTCACATAGTATGAAAACACATCCTGCTTCTATCCAAAACCAGAAATGTTTATTGAACACGTCTGCCTTATTTGCATCATTATAAACTATTTTACCATCTCCATTTGTAATGGGCCTACACCTTTGTTAGGATTTGTTTGTTTGTTTGTCTTTGCTCCTAATATACTTTAAAAATTGTCATTATTGTTCCTTGCCCTGCCAACTATGGAGTTTTCCATGATAGCTTTAGCTTCCCTTATCGATTTCTACATCTCATAGCTTCCAATGTATATCAATTGCTACTGAATTCCCCTCTTTCCATTTGTTGTACTTTTTTTTTTATTTCTAATTGCTGCCTGCACTGCCCCACTGCACCAGGACGGGCTTTTGGCCAAAGTTCTAGGGCAGTGGAACACCTAATTCCCTAAGGCTCCTTTGTAATTTTCATACTTCATTGGCTTTCTAGGACACATTGAGCTCCAGCTGGATGGAGGGGACAATGCCTGCTCAGGACGTGTGAAAGTAAGACATGGAGACACCTGGGCTACAATCTGTGATGCACACTTTGATCTCAAAGCTGCCAGTGTTATCTGTAATGAACTACAGTGTGGAACAGCTCTATCTATCCCAGGAGGAGCTCACTTCGGAGAAGGACATGGACCAATCTGGCCTGAGGAATTCCAGTGTGTAGGGAATGAGTCACACCACGTGTACTGTCCCAGGAAATCACATGGGAGTCAGACTTGCTCACATGCAAATGATGCCAGTGCCATATGCTCACGTAAGAATTTGGCACAATGTCTCTAAAATCCCAGTGTTGTGTATTCTAGTGCAGCAATAAAACGATCTCACTCTGTAGGGAGCTGGGATAATAGAGCTGCTATCGGCTTCTAGTAAAACCTCAACAATCCAATATAATGGGGATGGGCTCAATCCCCTTGACTTTCCTTTTCTTTGTTATTTAATATAAAATAGCTCCAAGCCTCCCTCTTTAAACCCCTTCTCCCTTCTCCCCTGGGTACACAGGATTCCGGCTGGTGAACGGCAGCACAGCGTGCTCAGGGAGGGTGGAGATCCAGGTTCTTGGTGCCTGGGGAACCCTCTGTGACTCACGCTGGGATTTACCAGATGCCAACGTTCTCTGTCATCAGCTCGACTGCGGATTCGCTGAATCAGTCCCAGGAGAAGCGTATTTTGGGAAAGGAACCGGCTCTGTCTGGACAGACACATATCACTGCAAAGGGACTGAACCCCATTTGAGCCATTGCCCTGTTACTGCTCTGGGGGCCTCTCAGTGCTCACACGACAATGATGCCAGTGTGATTTGCTCAGGTAAGTGCAGGAGAGATGCTGGATTAATGACACCAGCCCCTCAGTGTGTGACACTGCCCTCGGAACAGGGGAAACTCAGGGCACAGCAAGGGAAGGGGGAGCTAGATCCTAAACCACGTATAATAATAGTAAATGTATTAAAGAGAACATTAAATAATATCTCACAAAGGAGTAGTTGTGACCTGGGAAAGCCCTGGATTCTCCAGTAAAAACATCAGCAAGTCTGTCCTTACGCAGGGCAGCGGAGCAGGGTCATCACTTTGTCCTGCGGGTTACACAAATGTCACCAATTATTGTCCCCAGGCTTCTCCAATAGTAATTAGAGGGGGAGCTGGTAGTGACTCCCAATATGGAGCTTGCTTCACACTTTCTATTATAAAATATTCTTGGCATCTTCTTGAGAAGCTCTCACACCTTCCTTGATTGCTGCAGCCTTTGAAGTTTGGGAAGGGGTCAGTGCTGGGCCAGGGAGGTGCCTTCTCCTAGTGCAGTGAGAATCCTTCCAGGTTTGGCTTTGATTCATGAGTTGAGAATTTAAATCTGTCTACACTGAGATGTGAACAACAACAAGTT